TCGTGTAAATAGTTCTCGCTATTTTCTGTGCGATACAGAAGTCGCTGTTCGCGGCGCACTTACTGATTTTTCTCGGCTATGAGTTTGATCGCTTCGATGGAATAGTTGCGAGGGCCAGGAATGAATGTTCCGAAATGGGCAAACAATTGGATAGCTTCTGTGATTTGGTGAGTAGTCTTTGTTTTTTCTGGCGAGTCATGGGACCAAGCACTTACTATTTCATATCCAGGTCTCCTTTTGCGTGGCTCCGTCAGTCATGGTCTATTCCGCTGGTTTTGATACGGTGGCCGATCAGCTAGCTTTGGCTTTCTTTGTCTGTGCAGGCGTTGCCCGCCTGGCAAGATTTAACATCGCTGCGCACTTGGTGCCCAAGAGTGATCAGGGCAAAGCGATGTACCATGAGGGCCTTCCTACAGCATATGCGGCTCTTCTCATTTCCACAGCAGTTGCTGTTGCGGAGTGGACAGGCTGTCTGGCAAGCTTGAATTCTGGCTCTCATTATCCAGTCATTGTTGTTGTGCTCATTTTCAGTGCCGCAATGGTTAGCAAGCGGTTGCACCTATACATTGATGGAGCCTACAGCATCCCCGCTGTAAGCATGTTGGTTTTTGCAGGGTGCTGGTCGCACTCACCGATGCCAATCAGGACTCTGCTATGGTGAGTGCTCGATCGTGGATCATAATGTACTGTTATAATATGATTCGATATCGACAGCCGATCTGGAGGAAGTTGGCGAAATGCAAGAAAAAGGACAGAAGATGTGATTCACGGCAAATTGTATGCTGTGAATGCCAAGCGATGGAAACTCAGTGGGAAGGTGAATAAGGTGTCAAGCGAAGAGACAGAGTGCTGACTACGTACAAGGTGACAAGGTTAGTTAGGGTTAATAATAGAAGGCTGACAGAGGGACTACACCAATAGAAAATGTGTGCAACATTGTCGTGAAACATAAAACTCCTCAGTTCCACCAACAGTGCAGCCAAAATATTCATTCTCCTCTTCTTTTATTACCGCTCTTTATTCCCAAATCTCCGCCATTATGTCTCTCCGGCCCTACTTGGAGGCTGCCTACAGAGATGTTCGTTTGTCTACAGAAGTCGCACTCAATCCGCTGCAGAAGCTTGATTGCCACCTCAAAAAAGGTCAAGACAACTTGATCCTGGTTTACGGTGGCTCTTTTAACCCCCCGCACCGTGGACATCTGGACGTCCTGCTGTCAGCACTGCACCCTGCAGTCAACGCCGTCGCCGTAGTGGTTCTCCCCAGCGAGGACTTCCACCTCCGACACAAGCTGGCAAATAGCCACCCAGAGTTCTTCATGAGTCGGAAGACGAGAGCTGCACTTTGGGCCGAGATGCCCCAGGTACCTAGAAACAAGGTCTGGATCTGGTCAGAGACATGGTATCCATTTTACACATTTATGGAAGCGGCGCAGCGGCTTTGCGAAGAGGATGATTACAAGATTGTGTTTTCGCACCTCATTGGGCCGGATAACCTCAACGGAGCCGATGCTCTAAACAATTTGCCCTATAGGCTGCCGCGAATACTTGTTACCAATAAAGCACGGCATGTGCCGTCTCAATTTTTGCCAAACGGACAGCCAACCAAATGGAAGGGTTTTGGGGAATGGCTTCCACAAAAGATGGCATATAATGACCAACGTAAGTAAACTAAGTAAACTTTGTCTTTTATTGCTAGAACCTTCTGACAATTCCAGATGGGAAACTTGAAGAAACAGCAGAGGAGGGTACTCTATGGACTTGTCGAGGGACTGATAGCCTCACCCAGCCGACAATGGGTTACTATTTGGACTTTGCAAAAAGACCAACTGGGTCTGACATTAACTCCACAGCCATGAGACGAGATCTCCTTGAGAGACACTCACTGGACGAAGAGATCCTAGCCCAACTCAGCACCGTTGATCTTCTAAGCATCCTGGAACCAGTACTGCGTGGAGATTAGATTCGTCGGTGGAACACTTATGTAATGCTACTCATCATGTCAGATTTCTTGAATAGTAACCGTCTTTAGTCGAGGATTTCACATCCACGTAATACCTACTTACTTCACTGAAGGCTTCTTTGTCATATGGTGGCGCATACATCCTAACGTAAGCTTAATTTGGTACACGAGCCGCCTGTCCACCTGCCACAATCGGAGATGACTTAGCACCTGGAGGAACGGGCCGACAGATCTCAGATGACAAGTCCGAGAGCTTTGTTGGGAAAGACACCTGTATCGATACTGACTCAACCAGCAGGCGCCCAGCCAGCGTACGACGCAACCTACTGTTGGCTCACACAAAGAACTGAATGACAAGAGGCTTACTGGTTGGTGTAATGACGGAAGCGAGACAGAATTGCTTGCTTGGGGAGATTGGTCGCGTGCAAGGCTTGGGTGTACATATTTTGACAGGGTTCAAGTGATTGATCATTGATGTCCCTGTACCAAGCAGTCAGATCCAGTACTGGGTTACAGGTATATATTGACATGCCTGTAATTGATTGACAATTAAACTCTCGAACCTTAAGAAAAACCTTATCGAATACTCCATATCGACCTTTTGTACAAGAAAGCATGGCAGTGTTGAATGGTTACTTCAGACCCAGAGTGGCCTTTGTCACTGGTAAGGCATATACATTGCGAGGAGTTATGGTTTTATCTGACATGTGAGACAGGCATCACTGGTCAAGATGGCTCTTATCTTTCCGAGCTGCTCCTGGAAAAGGGTTATCAAGTTCATGGCCTGGTACGATCGACTGCTTCCAGACGCGAAGCTTTAAGCAAGCCACTCCGGCCTGGCTTGACCATGCACCTTGGCGACATGTCCGACCTGGGTCGTCTCGTGCAGATTCTGGGCAGCATCAAGCCCGATGAGATCTACCATCTTGCTGCTCAGTCCCACGTGGCTGTCTCATTTGACACTCCACTACAGACTAGTGACACCAATGCCATGGGAACACTTCGGCTGCTTGAGGCCATGCGAATGCTGGGTTTGGACAAGTCGACAAAGTTCTACAATGTAACGTTACTTTATGTCGCATGCATCATACGTGCAACACGAAAAGCCTAACATATCCGTGCAGGCTTGTTCATCTGAAGTGTTTGGGTCGGACATGCCCGCTCCACAAACAGAGGAGACCACCTTCCACCCGGTATCACCATATGCTGTCACGAAGTTGTTCCAGTACTGGACTACTGTCAACTTTCGAGAGGCATACGGCTTCCATGCCTCGAATGGTATTCTCTTCAACCATGAATCACCAAGACGAGGTACCACTTTCGTCACCCGAAAGATCACTACTCAAGTGGCTTTAATTGCTTGCGGAAAGTTAGACTTTTTCTCTCTAGGAAATCTAGATGCTGTCCGAGACTGGGGTCATGCAAAGGATTACATGCAAGGCGTGTATCTGATGCTGCAGCAGCCAGTTGGAGGTGATTATGTTCTTTCGAGTGGGAAATCCTATAGCGTTCGCGACTTTGTCGAGGCAGCTTTCAAGGTCATTGGCGTCAACATCGAGTAAGTTCTTCTTTACCGCTATACAATAGTAGCGCTTACATATCGCCCAGATGGACTGGAACCGGTCTAGACGAGGTTGGCATTGATTCAGCTAGCGGAACGACTCGCGTTAAAGTGAACCCCGAGTTCTACCGACCACTTGATAACCAGAACTTGCTAGGCTCGGCGGCCAAGGCGAAGAAAGTGCTTGGGTGGAAGCCAACATACAGCTTCGAAGCATTAGTTGAAGAAATGGTACTTTGCGATGTTGAGGCCGTCAACACAGGTCGTATCTTCTCCAACAGTTACTTGGACTGGGTAGTTGGCAAGACGGAAAGCGGAAATGGGGTTGTGAGTCACAGTCCTTCCAAGTCGGTTGGTGAGGCTCACAGCATCACCACAAACTCGGATGGACCTGAGAAGATCACCCTGGCAGACGTTGAGGGGCTGGATGCGGAGGGCACAACTCAGGTTTAACCTAGTCATTTTGTTGATGCTTCTAAAGCAATAGTCATTCATTCTAGATTTTCTTTACATGATATTTCCGAGAGATAGTTTCAATGCAACACCTATGACCATATTATACTCCTTTATAACTTTCTGTTCGGTTGTTACATATCTCGTGCCAAGCGACAGCGGAGTGATACATACAGCGAACTGTAAAGTCAAGCGTTTCAATGAGCACTAAATGTAGATCAGCCTGGAGTTGACATAACCTATACACCCATTCTATGATCTGGGAGTCATTTTTCTCAGCCTCATTATGATCAAAGGATGCGATAAATAGCGGAAGTTACCTTTTCTGTCTCATTGACTGTGTCTTTTTCCTCGGTACTGATTAGTTCTGATTGGTTATTCGTGGTTACGGGTAACAATTCTCCCATTCCCCGGGGTTGACGGAAACGTGCCATGTTACCTTTTGCAGAATTTGTGATTAGTCTCATCTGTACAACTAAGCTGACGTTTGGGCGGCGCCGCACTCCTTATGGGGAAGGTACCTTTTGTTTGGTTGTCCATGAAAATGAGGTGATGTGGGGGTTGAGACACCCCAGTTAGGTACACCAAATACGGTGACTCCGCATAAGGCTTTGAATTTCGTAATATGTCATGTTTTGCTCCAGGTGTCGTTGGTTGTGAAGCGAGCAGTATTTTCACTCGACCAATGCATCATATGTCTCCAGTTTCACCGCCACTCCAATCTGACCAACAATGCAGATCATGGTAAACAAACCAGCTCTTCTTACGGCAGGTGTCTGAAGCACATCATTACGAGAGAAACTTTTGACAAATCTCTCACAACTGCGCTGGGATCAAAGCATGACGTCTAATGCAGTCACGTTTGCCATGCAAAGGTCAGAATGCGAATTTCACTTATGCATAAAATGAGGGACAACAATCCATGTTGATAGACCATGACGAAGAGGAAAGAGTACTACTTCACAATCCTTCCCCTACCCCAAGATTCCTTTCATATCCAAAGGATTCAGTACTTGCGGCCGAGATGGGAAGTCAGTTGACACCTGAGATGGATCGATCGTTTCTCTCAGAGACCTTTTCGGTCAAGGCTCTCGGTAGTAATTGTAAGCTGCCCTGCGAGATTCCACCAGTCATGAGCATTTTACGCTGACACGTTACCTTTCCCCTTTGCTAGCCACCTTGAAAGCCGAATGCCATTGGAGATTTTCACCCCCTCTCTACCCCAAGAGTGTAAACGGAAATGCTCTTCCGCATTGCAAATCTGTCGATCTTGTTTTGAATATCACATCCCCGGAAAAGGCCGAGACGAACGGTCGCGCGAGTCAAGGAACGGACTTTCTTGCTGACTGTACCGACACGCCATTAGGAACCATTATCAACAAATTTCTGACATCAAAGACGCCTTACGTCGAGGGCAGCGGACCGGGCCATACCATCGAAGGTCTGATCAAGGTCTTGTTGGTTCCACGTGATGGTTACCTCTGTCGACGTGACATTATACAGCTGAGAATGGTACACTCTGACTGTATCGAGTCCGTCGTTCCCTTCCAAGTACAGGGAAAGCCTTACCCCGCGGCGCTTCAATCAGAAACCAATCTGCTTTCTCTCTTACAATCCTCTCCCGGAGCTTTGATCTGCAAACGATCCATCCAATCGGCTCGTGGCCTTGAGGCCTTTGACCTTGTCGATCGGGAAGTGAACGAGAGGCTTTCTTTTGACTGGATAATCCCAGACAAACCTCCAGCATTGACCGTGGCTGTGGTTGGCGGTCGCCCTCTGTTTGATAACACAACAGGGGGTTATGGTTCAGAGGGACCCTTTGACGCGGCTAGAGCGCTCGGAATAGCCGTCGTTGTCCTTGATCGTCCTGGCCATTTCATGGAGGGCCCAAGATACAGCCATAGACGATTTTGTTGCTGTCGATATGACCAGTGACGACAGTCTACCTCAAAGGCTCACCGCAGCTGTCAAGGGCCGCAAAATAGACGGCATCATCACCTTTTCGGATGAGTATGTCATTGCAACTGCAAAGGCAGCCGAAATGTTGAATCTTGAAACTGAACCCGCCGAGTCTATAATCACTGCTCACTACAAGGATGCAACCCGCAAGGTTCTCAACACTCCCAACATGCAGTCTTTTCGACTGGAGAGTGCCGCGGACTTGGATAATGAAGAGATTTCTAAGACGTTGGAAACCTTGAAGTATCCTCTGGTGATTAAGCCATGCCGTGGTGGCGCTTCTCGTGGTGTCAAGAAGGTTCAGAATCACCAAAGACTTCGGGAAGCAATCGACCAGCTCGAAAACGACGGTCTCACGAAATACGGGATTCTTCTCGAGACTTACATAAGTGGGCCAGAGATAGATGCCAACATTGCTCTCTGGGGTGGTGAGCTTATGTTCGCAGAGATCACCGATGATTTCCCCTGCACAGCTGATGCCAGCGACGCCACTATTGCCGACAACTTTGGGGAGACAGTCATGGTGTCACCAACACTATTGAGTCACAAGGAGCAGACGCTAATCAAGTCGTCTCTACACCAAACCTTGCTCAAACTTGGTTTCCAAAACGGCGTCTTCCACGTTGAAGCTAGAGTCCAGAACTCAAGCATGCGATACCAGGAGATCGGCGGTCTTGTTGATTTGGCCGACACAGACAGCCCGTCACCGAGCGATCCTGAGGTGTATCTCATTGAGGTCAACGCACGCCCTCCTGGCTTAGACTGCGCGTTCTCAACCCTTCACGCTTACGGCGTAGATCTTTGCGCGCTACAGTTACTCCAATGCCTGAGAGATGGCGATCGCTTCAAGGCGATGTGTAAGCCTTTCTTATCTGAGACACAGTACTGGAGCGCGAACTGCCTGATCCCAATTCACCGCCATAACGTACTGGTACCAGAAGGCTTCTGTGGCAAAGTCCTGGAGAGAATGCCAGACGTTGCTCCATTGGTTTATAGGTCGGAGTTGTTTAGACAGCCTGGCACACTGGTATCACCACCATTGGGTGTCGAGTTTCTGGCTTATTTCTTAGTGCAGTCTAGGACTGACCGACGAAAGGTGCTGCAGACCTATCATCGCCTGATACAAACTTGCAGGGATGTGTTAGATGAGGTGTGAGAACATTAGCTAGTTGTAGCCATGAAGTCAGTAGTCGAATACAATTCACTGACTTACCTTCGAACTTGCATATGGCAGTTCGTGAAAGCTAGTCATTTGCATGTCCTCCCCCAGCTAAGCATGACTCAATGTTTGACCATGAGAGCAGGACTTGAAGCATAAGTCGAAGCATAATCTGACGTACCGATCCATCAGCCGACCATGACGCCATAGTCAGCGCGTAAGCTCGGCAATTGCCTCATCGGAACAAATATCTTCTCAAGGTTAGACTGCCTCGGAACTTTTGTGCTGACAGTTCTTCCAAGCCGGGTCGGGCCGCATATATAATCCTTTTGAGTACTCAATCGAATAAGGCAAAATATGCCGACATCTTTTAAATCACATAAAACTCAAGCTTATGTTGGCCTTTATGCACCGGAATACATACCCGGCATGCACTCGACCTATGTGGCAGCCTAATCGGCTCCCTGCAATTTTCAGCCAGGTTGCGCAAGTTGTGTAACAAAACAAACGACACGGCCAGCCAGTTAAATTGAGGCCTGTCCGATTGTTATGAAATCGACTCCGACCCAGTTGATCCTGCGAATGGCGTATGCAGCGTTCTCTGGGGGCTAAACAAGAATCATACTGTAGACCCCGGCTAAATGTAATGAGATTGACGTTCTCGATCTGCCAGAGTTGCCCTCTTGGTGAAGTATCAGTGGGTTTTCAAATGATTCGGGTTGGGACTTTTGAGGATGCCCGTAAGCTGCAGCAAAACGCCTTAACGTTGCATTTGGTTTCATTTCAACAAGGAAATGTTGCTCACGTGCTTTGTTACTGTTTCAGAATGCACAAATGTGCTCAAAAGCCGGCAGTATTGATAGGGCTTTTGTCTTCCAGTGCATTCGATTAAATAGCTTGTGAAATTCTGGGTGCACTATGTCGGTTGCACCTCAATCAGGTACAACCATGAATGTTGTGTTTACTAGCAACCCGTCTTTAACTCCTGCATCTCAATCTCTGGGCGCCAATGCCAACGCCAGCAATCTGGAATGCCAAGGGGACACGGACCCAAGGGCCAAGAAACGCCTGCAGAATAGGGTTGCCCAGCGAAGTTACCGTAAGGCTGAACCCGCAGTGATAGGCTTGGCTTGGCTTGCAATTGTTACTAACGAGCTGGACCATAGGGCGTCGTGTCAAGTCTCGTATTGCCGACCTGCAAAAGGAGGTGGCCCAGTACGAAGATGCAAATTCATCAAAAGAGGGTCCAGAGACTGGGGAGCAACCTTGTCCTGCTGAAGGTTCTGTTCATCAACGTATATCATATATGTCGCCCGAAACAAACAACCGGGGATCGACTAAAGGCTTGCCCGAAGCTCTTCGCTCCCGTTCAAACCGAGAAAAGAGCCAAGAGAGTTCTACTCACAAGGGTTCGGATTACATCCTCTCCCCAGCAAGTTCTCTCGCTCCTGGGAGTGGGATCTCAGGCCCTCCTGTGATCAAAGCAGTAAGGTCTTATCAACAAGTTGGACCAAGCCGCGAGATACAGCAAAGTAGCCATTCAGGCCTCGCAACCGATCCTCATGAAGCCAATGGATATCTCCATCAAGCGCATTTTGACGATCTTACGGTGAACCAGAACACCAGTTCAGCCACTTTGCACTCCTTACCTACATCGACTTTCGATACGGCTACATCTCATCCCCCATTCATCACTGATGACCTTGAGGCAGAATTAGATCTTGGATGGATGATAGCAGACACAAACTTGGAGGGACAAAAGTCATGCTCCTGCGATAAATCACCAGACCAAAACCCAAGACCCTCTTCAACTAACTCCAATTCACTAAAAGCCCAATCATCCACCACAAGACTACCAAGCTACGCCTCATCTTCCCGATCACCAGCAACCGTGCCCAGAGAATCACTGAACGCAAGATTCCAGAATATCATGGAATGCGTTGGTGCAATGGGTTTCGAAAGCTTTGACGATCTAGTCACGTCATACTATGCCGACGAGTTTGAAGAAGCGTCCAAGCTCTTCCACGAACAGCGATTCAGCAGGATCAGAAGACTTCCTGGAGTTTTTGCCGAGATTCTGGAAGGTGCAAGAAGATGGGAGCCTTCAGAGCGTCGTGGCCTCGGTGAAGAGGTTCTCAGGGAGGCTGAAACGGTTCTCATGCTTGAGAACAGCGTAGCCTGGCAATCATTACAGTCAATCACTGATGCAGCTATTACCAAGGACGATATCTCTACTGAGCAGGTATATCAAAGTCTCAGTACAGTCCTACCAACGGAGGTAAGCACATGCGCACTAACCCATGATTCTCTTGTGATATATATACTAACACTAAGTTAGATGCCTAATCTTTGGACCTTATTGATGGCACTTGTAGCATCCGACTCTCCTGCATGGCAGCGAGATTGTTCTGGTACAGCTCTGGCAATTACTTCACTATTGCATTTCACAGGTCGGATACCAAAAGCTAAAATGTTAGAGCTGATAGGTCTTTGCATTTCATAGATTTAGATATTATTAAGATATTAGTATCTGTATCTCTATTCCAAGATAAAATTAACTAATGAATTCAAGGCAACTTGCCGCTCGACATTGCCCGTATTTCTCTCCTTTGCACTATGGTATTCCTTCTCTGATAATTTCGCTTTCGCAAATTCCAGTATCTGACCTAATGCTGTAGCATCGAATTCGGGGTGGGCTTGTATTTACCAAAGGCGTTTTGGAAGAAAAATACTTTTATATGAGTATGATCCGTCGAGCCGAGCTTCTGGAGTTGTCCCAGGTCCTGGTCTTTGACCTGAAACTGGTGACCCTCATTCAAGCACTATTTTCACATAAACCTTTGTATCTAAAGAAAGTCATTGTAACTTTTGACATACAATAGAGTCTTGTCCAAACAGTGTCTTTCCGGTATCTGATAGCTGGATAGTTGTTGCGGAGAACTCGTATCCCGAGTCACTGCATTCAACGGATAACCCGTAGGCCATTGCTATAATCTGGTGACCGAAACAAAAGCCGACAAACTTCTGAGTAGATGTCGTTTCGACTTCTTTGTTGATATATTCCCGAAGCTTCACCAACCAGGGTTTGTGTCCTTCTGGGTTTGCCGCTGTATTCAAATTCGTCAATGCACGTTTCAGCAGTTCTCGTGGCCGTGACTCACGAGCACCAGTGATTATGATCACATCGTAATCTCCTGGCTTTGGATAGTCCATGGTATTCTTCACATCCCAGACACGTATTTGTGCGCGTTCCCGCAAACAATGGTCCGACCTCAGCCATTTGGAAACAAGAGGGCCATAACCACCCCACTTTGACCTGTCCGGATCAATATGGTTATCGCACTCTAAGACACTAATCATCACAGATTTACCCATTGAAAGAGACTAGCAAGTGTTGCTGCGTGCTGTCCGGTTTCAAGATCAAGTCGTAGGCAGGCGTTTCTCTTTTTACTTGTAACGGAACTATCTAGCTATATAACTAGTCTCTAGCATATCAGTGAGGGTTTTCGGAATGATAGAGCAAAACCGCTATGCTTCTGTTAGTGCTAGTGCTTCTAGGCGTCATATGTTTTAGGGGGAGCTCCATAAGAGTCATGATACGCGTCATGTATTCTGCCGCCTGCGATTCACCAAGATCCCTGATTTTTAATTCGCGCTTTACCTAGTCGGTCGCATCTACGACAGCTTCTACTGGAGGAAAGTCTCGGGAAGGGAGCTTATTGTCCGGCATAGCTTCATACCCCCATTGCCAGGTATGTCTAAGTCTGCCTCTTAACTCCCTGACTGTCACTTATGCCAGTAATTCCATGGCTGAACACTAAGAAGTGCAGTATCACAAAAGTGAAGAAGACATACGATCCACCACAAGCCCAATCATGCGAAGTCCAGCTCCCTCCATGTCTCCCTTGGCGGACCATGGCAAACCCCACTTAGCTAATGCCCGCCAAGTCGGACAGCAGCAGTGCCTCGAGAGCTAACTTCTAAGACATACCGGTTATGATGATAATGATAATATGTAAATTTAAAAGTCAAATGAGACAGGAGAGGAATAGTGGCTTAACGGAAGTGTTATGTTCCGTGGCTTCTGCTTTGTTACAGTCTCTAAAAGGATTAGAGGGTAACAATCGGTAGTTGAGTCGTCAATGGGCAGCACACCAAAGGAGGATAGATATGCCGAGCTGTGGCTTTAAGGTACAGTTTGAGGATAGCGTAATGCAGATCGACTGCAAGTATTGGAGCTAAATTTCCGGATGTGATTCTTTCCGTGCTCTTAGACCAAAACGGTAAAGCGGCATCTGTGTCCGGATGAGGCTGTTTCCGAGAGTAAGTATAGTTCCCTTGAAATGATTAGTGCTGGTTGAATATAGTAGAAATATATGAGTCTGTATGTAAAATTTGTAAATTGTTCCCTCGGATTATCTATCTCGGTGTATAGGTTCCATTTTCAATATGCGTATGCAGCGGGATTCAGCAGAAATCCCTCCCCTTGGCAGTCAAAGCATTAGCCACAATGATGACGATAATGCCGAAAAAGGCTTGTGTGACGCATCACAAAGTCCTCCGACAATACCGCCCTCTGCCCATATTTCTTCAGAGGCAACATCAACCGTCAACGAAACCATCGACCCACCTAGGACCTCAATTAAACGACCAGCAAAGCCCGTGCCGATGCCGAACCTCGAAGTTACCAAGTCAATACAAGTAATAGATAAGTCAGTTAGTCGATGGGTACTATTCCATCTATGGTTCAATACATACCGGAAGCTGTTCCTCTTGTGCACTTTGCTAAACCTGACTGCGATGATATCGGCTGAACTTGGTCACTTCTCTTACGCCATACATAACTCTGGAGCAATGGTGCTTGGAAACCTTCTTTTCGCAGTACTTATGAGAAATGAATTATTCCTAAGGTTGCTATACACAATGGCTATCTACGGATTGCGTAGTGTATGTCAGGGACTCCTTTGGGATATTAAATTTATGCTAATGGAAAGGCCTAGTGGGCTCCTCTAAGGTTACGTTTGGCAGCAACCTCAACTTTACAACATATTGGAGGCCTTCACTCTGGATGCGGGCTATCAGCAGCTGTGTATGATTGCCTTATAAACTTACAGCTATTACTTCTAATGCAGGTTGGCAGTTGGTTTATCCTCAAAACTATACACATGATACGAAACCGTGGAATGCAGCACAGCTCCGTTATTGCCACAGGTGCCATCACAAGTACACTGATCTGCATATCAGTTCTCAGTGCCTTCCCTTGGCTTCGCAAGTAGACTTTCCCTCAATGCCGTTATGATCCCAGGACGATGTTGACACGAGTTATGCAGTAACCATCACAATACTTTCGAGCGTTACCATCGCTTTGTCGGATGGCTTGGTATAGCAGTAGGTATCCTCTGTTATGTAAGTGTTAATACTAAGGAGTAGTAGATGACCTGGGTGTTTGTTATCCTAAGCAACCTCAACGACATTAATCGCAGAAAAGGGCAATCCGGCGTCAGCATTATTCTTGGTGGACAGGAACTATGGTTTGCTTTTTTTATTACAATACTGTACGTTTTTTCACTTCTTTTTCCAAATAATAGTAAGTAACTGTTATCAGTGTTGCCCTACCATGGGCCACGCTTCGAGAGGTCTCAGTGCAAGTAGAACTTGTAAGTATATAGCATCAGGTCTTGCTCCTTTATAAGCTAATCATGCCAATATAGCCTTCGCCTAGACTTGCTATTATTCGATTCAACCGAGGTATGCAACAAGGGCTCGTTGGGAGGATCAGTCGTACTGCCGTTAAGGAGTTCCATGCCTTTGGAATTATCAGCGAAGGCATTGAGTCTCCATTCCACTATATGGTTTGTGGTGTCCAAGGTGACTTTACAGAAAGGATCCTCTCACATCCGCCGACGACACTGTGGACAAGGGAGCTCAAGTTCAGTAAGATTAATTTCACCTTACTACTCACTTGCTTATACTTACAACACTAATAGCTGGCATTGGTCATGCCTCAGCTATGTACAAAAGGGGAATCAGGATCTGTACAGGAACAGGTATAGGAGCTGCGCTATCTACCTGCATTCAGAGTCCAGACTGGTATGTTCTTATACTAGGGTAGAGATTAACTAAAGTACTGATATTTATACGTCAGGTTTCTTATCTGGATTGGCTCTGATCAAGAAAAGGCCTTTGGTGTAACAATATGCGACCTAATCCAGAAGCATATCGAACCTAAGCGGATGATTTTATGGGATACAAAAAAAGAAGGTCGGCGACCTGACACAATGCAGCTTCTAAAGGAGACTTGGGTACGCTTTGAAGCTGAAGTTGTTTTTATTACGTCTAATAGAAAGGGTAACAATGAAATAATGCAAGGATGCTATACAGGTATGATTCTGTTCCTTAGTCTCTGCAGGGTTCTTACTAATACTTCAAAGCTAACATACCTGCGTTTGGTACCCTCTGGGACTTTTAGTTAGTTAAAAACTTATATAAATTAATAATAGTATTATATATTTAACTATATGTCTAATGCCTTTCTACAATCTATATAACATAAATGAATCTGCTGCTTATCTCACAACCTATACTGACGTCTCTCCTCGACACCCAAACGTCGAAAGAATTACTTTGTTCAAACCTTTTTGACCATAATTATCAAGTCAGTTACTAGGATCTTGCATAAAATGAGCAAAACCTAAACCCACTATCCAGCATCACAATGGTCGTTTAAGGCACTGCATTAGCCCGCCTTGAAACAGCACTGATTATTCCAGGCACTGCCGGCGCAAGTCAATCCTCCATTGACATATCCACAAGCTCAATTGGTGTTAAGAATGTTAGCTGTGAGACAACCTCGAGAGAACCCAGCTTGACTACATCTTCTTGTTAAGTATTGTAAGTTAAGTGATTAGGAGACACTCACCGTACTTGTCTGCAATGGCCAGACGATGCTCCACCGTAGTTCTGTATACTGCAGCAGTTGCTGTAGGTAGAACCTATACGGGTCTTGCTATTCTTGGCACCACAGATTCAATCGGTTGTTACACCAATAGCATTACATATACCAAACTTGGACTGGCATACTGTACTGCAGGAATTCCCTAGGCCATTGCAATAGTTTTGGGCACTATAGCAATCGCCGTAAGTCGACCTCTGGCACGTCTTGCCGTTCTTATTACAGGATCTATTAGTAGAGATAGTACCGGCGGCAGCATCGTGTATTTTAAATGTAGACTGGTACTGGCATTCTGGAGCTTGAAATCTTTTCTATAAAGGCCATATCTTATTTATGCAGTAAACATAAATATAAATTTAATAGAAATATAAAAACTTAATCCGGGTCGTATTTCGAGTTAGGTGCCATTGAGGTAGTTGGATCAATAAAGTTTAGATATGCTCCTCCGAGAGCAACGATAGGTCATTCCATTTGAAGAATAAAGCGTAGAATTTAAAGGTCGTATTGTTGACATGATGCTTGCAGAAGTTGGGTATAGTTATTCAATTGATGTTCAGGAAGGGGAGAGGCTTTCTGAGTCTATGAATAAAGTGTTTAATTGTATACTTCTCTTGTAGCTTTTTCGAGATTCGGTGGCTTATATATAATCAGCATTGTCTAATAAGGATGTAAGCTTGAAGAAAGCAGTGAATAGTCCGTCGGATCAGTTATGGTGGTTTGGACATTTAGTAATTTTTAAAAGTCTGTCCCTGTCAGATTTTAGTTTAGCGCCCTGGAGGATTAAGGCAGCTGGGGCAGTGGCTGTTTCCAGCTGTGACTAGTATAGTGATCGCAGTCATACCACCGGACGAGGTTACTATAAGAGTATTATAAAATGACGGTCATATAAACTAAGATGCTGAAATACTGTTATGCTGAGCCACGGAAATCGTGCCTCTGCCTAGTGCGAACTTATGGTCTTCCTCCTTTGGCTCTGACTTGATGTTTTCCTTAAGCCTTCGCTCATTGAATACATCCGCAACATGGTCCTTCATATTATACCTTCAGAGAGTCAGTAAAGGGAGTACACTTCTGATTTTGAGTCTAACTTACATGTTCATCTCATCGATTGTCAATTTGCCATCTTCAGTTGCAACATTGTACACCTTGGTGTTTGTGTTGCTAGAAAAGCCTGTTCACAATTTTCAGTATCCAAGTCTCAAGGTATCAGCTCCAGATCTCTTACCAATGCGCTCGTTGATGTTCTCCCGGGCCCTTGCTGATGCAGCCTGGACCTTGGTAGCCCTTGGCTTGCGAACTTCCTCAAAGGCTTTGAGGGACTCGCGAATGTCCCCGTTAAAGTGCTTCTTGCTGAAAACAAGACCAATAGCGGCAGCATCTTCAATCGCCTGGCAAGCACCTTGACTTTGATCCGGCATCATCTTGTATCTCTGTCAGTGCATGAAACCTAAAGACAGAAAAGCACCATGACTTACCGGATGGGCAGCATCTCCCATAATGCAGGCAACCCCCTCCGTCCAGTGATCGTAGGGCTCATGGAGCCACAGTCGCCAGGGACGGATCTCGTACCCAATCTCAAGATGCTTGAAGACTGACCGGTCCAAATCGGGGTATGGGTCGAGAAGCTCGTCTAGGGTGGCCTCTTGATCCCAGGTCTGTGCCTTGAGGTCGCCTGCCTCGCGCGGGAAGAAGCAATAGTAAGAGAGGAGCTTGCCTCCGTTACAAGGAGACAGAACGATCTTGAAATGGGTGTTGTAACCTCCCCAATACTCCAGAGCACTGTTCTGGGAGTAGTCAACTAAGCCAAGCTCGACAGCTTTTGCAGTGTCTACATTGGTATGCAGGCATGTGCAAGTCGCTGGTTTGCGATCGGGCTTGATGCCAAAAACACTTCGAAGGGTGGATCCTATGCCATCGGCTCCAATGACTACATCGTGCTTTACCTTCTTGCCATTTGCAAAAGTTACTTCCCCACTCTCCACATCTACATCAGTAGCCTAGAATAAAGTACAGTTGTTAGTGACGTGGCTGTAATATCTGATAATGGTGTATCTAATGACTCACCTGATGGTTCACAATGAGTTGGGCAGGGGGGCCTTCGCCTTCACCAAGGGCACTATCCATCAACATTCGATGCATATACTGGCGATGGAACATGTAATAAACCTGGATATAGTTATCAGCCTTCGTGTTTCGGATCGTGTCGGGCTATCACTTACATATCCCCACCGTTCTTTATAATCCTTCAGATCATAGACGCTGATGGGCTCACCAGTCTTCCAGTCACGGCTGATTAGCTTTCTGAGAATAACTGGATCACCAATCTCAATATTGACGTTCCATTCTTCTAACCAGCGAGTACCATTAGCAGCACACGAGATGGAGGCTCCAACCTCGCCGGCGAAATCGGCACGTTCGTAAATGGTGACCTTGTGGCCTTGGCGACGAAGAGAGGTAGCAACTGCTTGACCTCCGATACCCCCTCCAATGACAGCCATGTCAAGTACGCGCCAACCGCTTTGAGTCGACATTGCTGTTTCGGAGTGTTTGGTGGTCTAAGTATTGGATTTTACAGTTCAAGCGGTGGGACAAAACAAAGATACAGATAAACAGATTTTTCTATAGTTTCCACAGGAAAGGAGTTTGTGTATTCGTTCTATTCAAGCTTCAAATAAATCTTGGGGGCTTTGGCTTCCAACTACTGACATGCAGTATGCTCCCGATTATGCCCCGATTGCTGACCAAGAGCTATGAGTCTCCAGCATACCGGCTCCTTTCCGTTCAAGGCCCGTTTACAAATACTCTTAATCTGGGTGGTCGGAGACTTCAGGAAAGCCTCACCCAGCAGCTTATCTAGTGTCGCCTATATAATAAGCAGCAACCATCAGCCGTACCCACTGAACGAACATTGGGTGACTTCCCGGTCACTCCCCGGCGGAATCTAAAGACTCTCGCGACACCCCTTCTAGTCATGGGGCTTTTCTGCATCCCAAATAAGTGTCATTTCCCGCCACCAGTGTCCTCGAAAGCTGCCGATATACGACAGGCCGTCTGACGTTACACTGCGGTCGCATTTTGCACATTCCAGCCCGCACCCGCACTGATAGGCAAGCCCCCGGATACAGCTTGCGGAGATCATTACCTTTGACAGTGTCAATCTATCTGAGATAGGAAATATGGATATCTTAACCCTCCGTCACTACCTCCGTCACTACCTCCGTGATTCGGAACGGTCCTTGCGACTAGCCCCATCATTCCGCTACCGTTCCGATAAGAGGGCTATTCCTATCCTGTCTTAGCTCACAAAATCCCATGAACTGAAACAAATTACGGAGTAACCAATCAGAGAATTGTCATTACTGTAGGGTAGCGATCATTATTCCAAAACGGAAGGTACCTTCACGATAAGGAAGGCAGGTATCTCAGGTTTAACCTCTTTATATTTCCCTTTAAGCCTGGCTTATTTAATATACCAGTTTAGTTTTAATAGGCTTATTACAGTAGATTTTATTGATCTTTTAGAGAGAATTAAACCTAAAAGTAATAGGGAAGCAATAGAAATATATTATGTTATATATACGGGCTTATAGCTAGTCAAAAATACTATTATGCCAAAACAGAAGGTATCTTTACGCTAAGGAAGGCAGGTATCTTAAGTTTCTTTACAGATTCTATTGCCCCAATTTGTTACTGAGCTGAGAGAACCGCACCACATCCGGTAAAGGATTGCTGGTCTGGGAGAATCATCTTTACGTCCAAATACATTACTGGGTTACTTGAGTGCCGTTTTGATGCGTTATAACTAAGATTTAATGGACAAAACCAAAGAAAAATGGATTTAGATCATGACGGAGGTGTAAATTTGTGATTACAGACAAATTATGCTTGAACAGTCAAGACCCTCTGCAGGACTTCAAACAAACAGAAAGGCACTCTTTTAATCCAAGCCTATCTTGCCAAACAATTACTTTACATGCATTCCCTCGACGACACTGGCTGCCACAACTGGCATTTTGAACTTCTTCCTACCGACAAAGGCAAAATGGACGACTCCAAGTATAATCCAACCAGACATAACAGCCACTGAGTAGTTCATATTCTCGGGTGTTACCGGCAAAGAACCCGGGAATAGACTGAAGATGATAGAAACTGCCATCCAAATAATGGCAGCCAAGTTCAAGAAAATTCCGAGAACTTTCCCCAACTGGAAAGGGCCCTAATCGGATGACTGCAGCTTGCTTCGGCCCCAGACAAGCATGCATACCACAGGCATCAAATAAGAAAGATACATTCCCGTAGCAAATATGGACAAAATGGCGTTGGACGCTGTGGGGTTGACCAAGTACAGCAAACCAAGAAGCAAATCGAGCACGAAGACTACAAGAACCGCATTGGCTGGGATCTTGAGCCTGGGTTGGATATGCCCGATCCATGAATGAAAGGGAGTAGCGTCATCGCGTGCAAAAGCCCACAAAGTCCGAGAAGCAGATGTCATGCCTGCAGCTTCTGCAGCAATCGCTGTCAAAGCTGACACGAGAACCATGAATGTAGTGCCGACGACTGAATGAGTCGCATCGTAGTAGATCTGAATGAAGGGAAGTCTGTATGGGTAGCAAGGATGCGCTCAAGCGATCCCGCCGAGAAAAGCAACATTGTGACATATCCAACGCCCATGGCACCGTTGATGATGATGCTTCCGATCATTGCAAGGGGTACATTGCGGCGAGGGTGCGGAAGTTCTTCAGCCATGTGGCAAGCACCATCGTAGCCTAAGAATGGATATATAGAGCTGATCATGCCTACAATCCAAGCAACGCCATCGCTCCAATTCGTATCATTGAAGGTCGAAGTGAAGACATATACGGATGTGTTCTTCTTGGACGTGACACCGAGAGCGATTAGAACGGCAAGGAACCCAAATATATGGAGAGCGCCTGTTATTGTTGTTAGAACCTATAAAGCAAAGGGAAGAAAAGAGAGGCGGTGTGATGAGCATACCGGAGATAAAATTGGCTGTTGGGAGGACCTTCTCACCGATAATGTTCAGCAACGCACAGTAGATCAATATGCCGATATAAATGAGGGTAGCGTGCCATCTATCTGCATGATAGGACGGGCTGCTGACGAAGATAAGACCTTGGACCATGAAGCTCGAATAGAAGCCAGCCGACGCAAGCAAAACGACCTGGCCGCCAATAGATATCCACCCTGTCATCCACGAAGCTATCTTTCTACCTCGCTCGGGAGATAAGGCTGTAACCCAATGGTACTGGCCTAAATAAATCTTCAGTCTTGACAGTTCAAAGGTGTGAACGGGTTGCACTGATGAGTACTTACCACCAGATGTCGGATAAATTGAGGCGATCTCGGCAAGAGAGGCTCCAATTGCGAGGGAATAAGAAGGATAGAATACTGTCACGACTGTGAGTAAACTGACAGTCAATGCTACTCAAGGTTTAATCTTACAAGTTATACCAGAGGCATGGCGGGCCGCCGCTTGTCAAAGCCGCGGCGATGGAGGCTGAACAGGCCTCCCATGTGCCCATCAAGCAGAGACAGAGGCCAAGAAGAGATGGTAGCGAGAAGCGTCGTTGGAATTCGTCCTTATAGCCGAGGTGGGCGAGCTCTACCGCATCAGTGTTCTTGGCGTCGGCCATGGAGTGAGATCTCTCCAGATGAAGATCCATCTTCTCCGATGCTACCCGAGTCTTTCGTATTGGACCCATCTTTGAGAATAGCAGTGTGTAAGATATTAAGCTGTCATCTGACGATGATAAGAGAAAACCTTGATTGTTTCAAGAATAAAGAGAGCTGTGTGTGCAATGTATAGTATGTGTTTCTTATATCAGCCATGCCGTCTCTGAACCATGAGTAACTCTATGAGACAGGCAGGATTCGTAAGTTCAGCGCAAGGGTTCCCCTCACCAGGTATATCATATCATTTGGAGAGGATAGCGTGCAGGAGTTGAGCTAGCGCGACAACCGGCCAATTTGGTGGCTATAGACGTTCAAGGTAGGCGGAACACGTCTCCGTGAACATGTTCCGAACAAACAAAAACAACCCATTGGTCTGAATTCACGAGCACGGTTCTTGATCCATCGCGCTCATACATTAATATCCAGTAACACACCTAGGGGGGAAAGAAAATTCGGGATCTTCATCCTAAGTGACAAAAAGGCTTTAGATAACTTAGTGTAGGCTTAGTATAAACTCAGCCTGAGTTTAGGATACCTGTACTAAGTCTATTTTGACACTGTTTATTAATGTTTGATGTTTTCTTTCTCCTGGAGGCGCGCCTACTAAGCTTCACTGATCTGGCGTGGGCAGGGACTGCCACCAAACTCATTCAATTATGTGGCATACAGCAAAGGACCAAGGCCATCCCGCATCTCCGTGAGCACCCCGTATTTTCGGCTTGACCTTGAGACCTAGCTGACGGACTCTGCCATGGGAAGCGGAACCATTAGTCCGCGATCTGCGCCTGGCCGACCCTGTAGACTTGTGGGTGATAGCAGGCTCGGTTGAGCGGCGCCATATTGGCCAGGATCTCAAGAACACCATAGGCAGGATACGAAGGACCTGTTGTACTATCTAAACCTAATCTAGTAGCTGGTTACAATTTACTCTCTGGTAGAAGGCGTCTGCTCGGAAGATGGTCTTTTGGCCCAGGGATTAAGTGATCCAGGTCTCTTGTGTTCACATAACCAGGGTGAGCGTCCCGCATCAAGTCCGTCATTCCACAAAGCCTCATAGCGGTCTCCATCTCGTCCTTGATAACTGCAAGACGAGTTAGCATCTACTCAAATTTGGCAGGATGGGGAACGAACTGTTGATTGCATGCTCAACTCCTTCTTGGCCATAACCAAGAGAATACAACAGCGGGCGGCCAAAGCCGACTGCTGAAGCGCCAAGACATATAGCTTTGACAATATCGGATCCCCGTCTAAATCCTCCATCAATGAGGACTTTCATACCTTTGAACACTTCTGGACAGATCCTGTTCACTTCCAAAAGCGTTAGAATAGCAGGGGCTGCACCATCAGCAGCCCGTCCGCCATGATTACTGATGACGATGCCGTCGCAGCCCACAGCCAACGCCATCTGTGCATCGGATGCTCGCTGGATACCTTTGACCACGATTGGTATGTCTCCAAGAATGCTACGTAGCCACTTGATGTCATCCCAACAAACAGTGGGGTCAATGAAAGACGAAGCAAGTCGCGCAAATCCGGCCCCTTTCTTGTCTCTTGTCTGTCCAGACCCTGAACTTGACGAGGCTCGCTCATCCTCTTCTCGCTTTGATATCACGGGAACATCCACTGTTACAAAGAGAGCCTTGACCTTACCGGTAGCAATAGCGTCCCGAATGGCGGCCTCGGATTTTGATCGGTCTTTGTTCACGTACAGCTGGAAGAACGCGTGCTTCTCCGTAGCTCCCAAGATCTCTAGATGAGGATATGACGACGGTGTAGCAAAACATTGGACTATGCCTGTTTTCGCTGCTGCCCGCGCCAGTGTGATCTCGCCTTCAGCGCCTCCGAGCTTGGACCCTCCTGTGGGCGAGATGTATATGGGGAATGAAAGGTCACACCCGAATAATCTCTGACGAGTATTTATCTGCCCAACTTTCCTCATTATTTCTGGTCGGAGCCAAATCCGATTGAGAAATGTATTATTTGCATCGCGCGTGATGTTGTCGTTGGAGCCGGTGTGAATGACTGCCCAAGGCTTAGTGGCGAGGAACCTTTCCGCTACTCGCTCGAAGTCGTTCAGGTTGATGATTTCACTCAGATCAGGCTTGGACTTGGTTTCAGGTACGATAACAACCGTAGCGTCAATCTTGGAATTGGCAACCTTCTCCTGGTCCTTCCATGCCTCATCGATTGTCGCTGTGTCCAGCATGCCTATGTAGCATGTTGTAGGTAAAGATTTCTTGATCAAGGACGGGGAATGTATCTCGTTGTACGACGTGGAAGCATCTCGACCGGCGTGTTGATAAATGACTGTTGGGTTAACACTTGTTGTGACACAGAGGTTACGGTAGTAGGCTTACTCTCTTCCCCACCAGGATGTTCAGGCGCAAACTCGGTCATGTCGTATACCTCTCCATTGACGACAATCCAGATATCCTGTTGTGTCCCATGTTGACGTATTTCCGCCACGCTCACTTTCTCGGCCATTATAATTATGTTGGGTTGAGATTTCTAGAGCTTGACGGATCAGTGCCTTGGAGAAGGCCTCTGGTCTTCCTAATTGCTAGTCCCAGGAGAAACTGAGAATTGGTGTGCCGACACAAAAAATATGGCTTATACGTAATAGCCATCACTCCATTGGCTCACCCAAGCCTGGCTCAACCGTCCAGATGAGTAGCTGTTGATGGCTGATGCCCTTCGAACTCGGCTCTTGCACGGTACACTCCCGCACGGGAGCGGGCATCACAGTCCGTACGTAGTGTTAAACGACTGCGGTAATGTACCCCGTTCAACACAGATGACCCATCTCCACAGTTGTTCCTCCGATCCAGTCTCCTAATAGAGAACTGACGGGATTGATCCAGTTGGTGGAGGAAAACCTGACTTAGGAACGTTCCGATAGCTTCTGACTGGCTATGGAAAACCCCAACGTAGCTTCCGAAGTGGATTATCCTGTAAACGATGAAGGAGATGAGACGGCACGGGATTTACGATTAACGGTTCGCGGAGAAACATACGGGGAAGTAGTCGCGACAGTTCAATACAAATGTTCCTGTCGCTGACTCTGATATCAGATATCCCACCACCGTATCATTGCCCCTACTTCAGTCATAATTCATCTAATCTCACCATCACACAAATCTAGCATCATGGCAGACGATCGCTTCTACACCACTACTCCCAAATACTCCAAGAAGGTCCTGAACCAAGGGGACCCAGATTACGAAAAATGCCGACGAATGAACCCCACTGCCCACAAGATTGAACGTTTTCCTGCTGAGATTCACATTCCCGAGACACCTGCTGAAGTGGCCAAGGCTCTTGCGCGTGCAACCGAGCTTGGTGTACCTATTGGCGTTCGATCTTCGGGCCACATCTTCCATTTTCCTGCCCTTTGGCACGGTGGCATCCTCATAGATGCGGTCAATCTGAACCGCCGCATCGACTATGACCCGGTCACCAAGGAGATCTGCTTCGGTCCCTCCTCTCGAGTCGAGGAACTCGCTGCCAAGCTAAAGGAAGTCAACCGCTTCTTCCCCCATGGCCACGCTCCTACTGTTGGATCAGCAGGCTTCATGCTGGCTGGTGGCCAAGGTTGGTTTGTTCGAGGCTGGGGCGCGACGAACCAAACATGGATCACCAAGATCGAGATGGTTGTTCCTGATGGCCGCACGCTCATCGCTAGCCGTACCGAGAACCAGGATCTCTTCTGGGCAGCTCGCGGTAGTGGCATGGGCTTCTTCGCTGTTGTTACACGCTTCTGGGGTCGCACAATTGAGAGATCTACCATGTGGGAGAAGACACTCAAGTTCGTGATCAATGATGACAACTACATGGCCCTGATGAGTTGGGCTATTGAACGTGGCCGAGATACTCCCAAGTACGGCACTGATCTGAACCTGACCATCGACTACCGTGAGAAGTATGATCCGGCCTACACCACAGATGACGTTCCTCCCAACGCGACGCTTGTTCTAACTCTGAACAATCTTTGCTATACCGATACGCAAAGAGAAGCCCGCACTCTGCTCAGCGCATACGATAGGATTACACCCGAGGTTGCTGACTTTCTCATCGAGTCAAAGCCTGTCCAGGTGCGAACATTTGAGGAGGTGTTTGCCCGCAAGCGTACTTTCCTAGGTAACGCCGGTCAAGAGCGCTGGTCTATCAACAGCATCATGAACGATCCAGATGTTCCTTTAGCTCGAGTAAGTGTATCTCCAGAAGTAAACGTGGTACATAACACTAACCATTCTTGTCCAACTGCAGCTCCTCGAAGGTATTCGACCTGCCATGCTAAAACTGCCGACCCGTGTCTCTTCTGTCTTCATCTGCCACTGCGACATCAAGCCAGATGAGGACGACGCCTGCTTGAGTCTGCCTCAAGATCTGTATATCTCAACACTCACTGGCTGGACCGACCCCAAGCTTGAGCCCGCCATCATGCAGCCCATGCGTGACTATTACAGACAGGCTTTCCCTGTTGCTGTGGGCCAATACATCACCGATATCGATATCAACTGTGAAGATGCCAACGTGAGCAGTACCAAGCACCCAAGTTAAATCATTTGCTGACGTGTTTTCTCTTCTTATAGTCCAAGGTCATGAGTGATACTGCCTTGGCCAAATTCCTTCGTATTCGTGAGAAATACGACCCCAAGGAGCTGTTCCCTACCTACAAGGCCTTTGTGAAGACGTCGGAGAAGATTAACAAGCTACAAAACAAGTCAAGACTGTAGAGTGTAGACTATAGGGAGGTCATTTAGTATAGCCTGTTGCAATAAAGTCGTGATCTTTCCTGACTTCCCCCACATTACAGAAGCTGGGCTAGCCTGGGCCTACTTGACCGCGTATTTTGGATATCATTGCGAGTCCCTAGATGCACCAATGCCGCATCATCCAATGTAAATAAGCCAAACATGCATTCTCCCGCATCAATCAGGACATTTTCATACGTGAGCTTACATATAGGCACCATGTGACGCACCACTTCGTCACTGCAAGCCTCCATTGGCCATTGCGCATCGATGTC